TTAAGATTAAATAATGAACAAATATTTATACAAATGTACTTTTTAAAAACAGATAGTAAACTGTATACTACCGTAATATATGACAATTAACAAAATAAAAACACCAATTTACTAACATGTATTTACAATGACCCTGAAATTCTCTAATTAATTATAGAGGGGAATTATTCAGATATTTTCTCATTTGTTTTGTGTGTAAAAGTGACCTCGATTATGAATTATGAACTAGTCGCCGTACGTATCAATAGTTTGTTATACTTGTATATAGAAACAAGTTAGATAACAGATTTCATAACCAACCAGTTCAGTGATTAATTTACACATCACACCAGCTAATATTAGGTGCAATTTTAGGTGCAATTCAATAAGCACCAATGCCCATTTATATAAATTTTGCACTATCTATTGTATAGTAACTACAGATTATACTATAGTTATGATTGGATCCCAAACTTAATAATTAGCATATGTTTGAAACCGTATAAAAAGCAGCAATTCTTAAGCTTACATTCAATTCATTTCAGTAGAGTTTGCAATTGAACTTAAAAACTAATACAAAACTAAAAAATGATTGGGTTATTTGGATTCAGCTTATTTAATTTAGCAGTGGGGTTTTTGACAAGTTTACCACTCATTTACTGGTAATTAACTTTTACAATATTGTACTATGAAAATAATAATTTTTTAAAATTTTTACATTAATTTTGACATCAATTCATAGGTTTCTAACAAAGAATAACAATTATTGAAAACTCCCCATACGGTACTGTACCGGTACATATGCAATATGTCTTAAAGTGGATGATATTATACCGGTATTGACATTCTGCACATACAGCCAATGCAAATTTCTAGACCATAAATATAAATATTTGTTTCCAGAATTTGCGACAAATATTTGATTAGCACTGATATATGAAATATATCGCTAACTCGTAAAGACCAATAAACTTATAGCTTCTCAAAAAGTGTATTCAATTTAATGCCAAAATCTGTGATGATTTTGTACACTATTCCTAATTTATTCATTCATTGTAAATGAGATATTCTTGTGATTTATCATTGAATTATGCTTATGTTAATATACTTTTAATAATTATGTATAATATGAAAAGTACTTTGAATAAATTATTTAATCTCAAGACCATATGATTGTACTTTACCGGTAAAACTACCGATTATGCTGTATGTCATAAAATAATTCATAATTAGGAATAATTCCTATTATTAAAAAGTATTTTTGTTGTTTGAAAAGTATTTATTGAAAGAATTGTGGGAAATTTCAAGTTATCAACAATGCCTAGGTTATGTAAGTCCATTATATTTATCATTTCAATTATATTTAAGAATTTACTTACTGTCCATTGTTCAATTAAATTGTATAATTAAATTAACCGAGATAATAGTTTTATTTTGCAAATATAATCATTAGTAATGATTCATTACATTTAATGACCAAAAATGTATTAATATTTTTCTGTTAATAAAGTAAAAAGTTTATGAAATTACAAAACTCAGCTAAATGTGATCAGGTGTATCATTTTTGAGCATAAAATAGATTCAATGCTTCATTCATACATACTTTTAGCATATTTGCATCAATGTTAACAAACCTAATTATATTCATCATTAATATGTGAAAATGTATGATTTTGTTGTACATCTCGGATAATCTTTTTGTCGTTAACTTTATTAACTTTTATATATAAAATATTTTCAACAAATGAAGCACTAATTAGAATGTGAAATGAATATCATAATAATTCTACCTGTACTGGTAATATTGTACACAAGTATAATACTGTACCAATAATTATTGAAAATGGTGTAACAGAATAATAAATGTATGATATTTGTTATATTTTAATTATTGTCATTATATTTTTGTATTTAGTACTGTAATTAGTGCCTAAAATGATTCTTGAAATGTCGTTTCTATACAAAATGTTAAGTGAATTTGTTTTTCACAAAATTAATATTTGATAACACTAGCGATTTCACAGAATCGTTACAAAATGTAAGTTATTTTTATATAATTCTTAATCTTATAAAATGTTTACTAGTATTGCGTTACAAGAGATTATTTTTTAAGTAAATTGAGTTATTCTTGCTTAAAGTCCAACAGAATATTAAGTCTAATTTAATATTGATATTGAAAAATAATAAGTATATTATATTATATTGTCGATATACACTCGATATATACAGTAATTCATAATTCTAATCGTGTTTTGCCAAAAGCATGTTATCTAAATATGAGTTACACTTTACTAATTTATAAAATAAAATTCAAGAGTCTTTATCCAATTAATACTGTACTGTATATCAACTTTTAAAAGTGCATTTATTTTTTGTAATAATGATTGGCTTTATTTATATTATCGACAAAAAAGTGCGACTGATAAATGATATTACGGTACACAGGTTTATTATACAAATGATATACTATGTTAGTACTGTATGTTAATAAAAAAATTCTTATCAAGACTAATGATATGCTTATAAAATTGTTTGTTATGAAACGCCGAGGTCTTTTATCGCTTTTCAATGCCAAGTGTAATACTCTCGGCGGCCATCAAAGGCGTTAGATTCATGAATTTGATGGGCATTTCAGTGTCGGCGCACTTCGTGAACCGAAAACTTTTCACGATGTGAGCGATACAGAGCTTGATCTCCATTAAGGCAAACCGCATACCAATGCAATTGCGAGGGCCGGTGCCAAAGGGCATGTAGGCATAGGGCACTAAATCCTTGCGATTTTCCGGCATAAACCTCTCGGGAGTGAATGTGTCGGCGTTTTTGTAGTACTTTTCCGACCGGTGTATGGCATAGACGGGAATCTCGATCATTTGGCCCTTACGTACGGTGATACCGGTGTCGCCCAACTTAACATCCTCGCCGGCCTCCCGTTCCAGTCTCGCCAACGCCGGATACATACGCAGGGTCTCACTGATGACAGCATCCAAATACGGCAGACTCTGGAGGGTCTCGTAATTGATCTTTCCGTCCAAATCAAACGCATTGATCACCTCATTGTGGAGCTTCTCCTGGACGTCCGGATTGAGGGCCAACTCGTACGACAAGTGCCCTAAAGTGGTGGCCGTTGTCTCAAAACCGGCCAATAAGAAGAGCCACGACTGGGCTATGATCTCATCCTCGGTTAGGGTTTTGTTCGCGAAATTCGTGTTAAAAGTTCGCTTCGCGGCCGCGATTTCGTCTTCGCCTGAAAAGGGGTTTGAATGAAAAGTTAGGTTTTGTTTGACGGTATGGCCTAAGACTTTGAAAGGAGACCTTCAATGAAGTGATGGGAGTCTATCTTATCGTCCGACAGGTCTTTGTTGTTGTTATTATTATTATTATCGGCGGCGTTGGCGTCGACGAGTAGTTGCAAGAAATCGTTACTTTTCTCACCGTTGCGTCTCTTCTCCACCATATGTCTCGTCAAATCAAATATGAATTCGTTGGGCGCCTCCACCAGCAATGTCCTTATATTTAGCATTTTGTTTATATATTTAGGGAAAATGAGCGCCGGAACCACCTTAAGTGGGCTGAATATGAAGACTTTACGGCCGTTGGCCACCAACTTGTTGTTGGGATCCTTCTGTGAGTTTGTTTTGGTGGCAAAGGCGCACTTCGCGATCACATCAAACGTGAAGTTCTGGTGGAGGACCTTAGCATTGATATACTTGCCATCCCTGGCCATTACGTCCAAGTGTCCCAGGTACTCCTCGAGAGACTGCTCCACCAAATGATACATTTTCCGCAGCTTTCCCGACGAAAACGTGGGACTAACTATAGTTCGCATACGTTTCCAGTCCTCGCCCATCGAGTTGAAGAGGTTTTTATTGATGATCGGGTGCTCTGTCCTCAGTTCCCGGCGATTTGAAAACTTATGAAACTCTTTGACCAGAATTTGTTTAAGTAGTTCCGGTTCTGCGACCATTAGTGTCGGATCTGTACCGTTGAATATTCTGTGGTGAATGGCAATTAAATTTTATAAACTCATGTAAAACCATAACTAATTAAGTTTAATATTAAAATTGCATTAATGATTTACCCGAAAACATTTCCATATTTCTTAACGTATCCAATATCAAGCAGTGGAACTGGATTTTGACACCTTTCCAGTAAATTGCCAAACAAGGGAAGTGGTTGCGGGCCTTTGACCCCCATTTTCTTCCAATAGTTGTTATTCTTTGTTAGAAACCTATGAATTGATGTCAGAATTAATGTACAAATTTGTAAAAATTTTTAAAAATTATTTTTTTTATAGTACAATATGGTAAAAGTTAATTACCAGTAAATGAGTGGTAAACTGGTCAAAAAGCCCATTGCTAAATTAAATAAGCTGAATCCAAATAACTCAATCATTTTTTAGTTTTATATTAGTTTTTAAGTTTAATTGAAAACTCTATTGAAATGAATTGAATGCAAGCTTAAGAATCGCTGCGTTTTATATGCCTTAAAAAATACGCCAAACTGTTAATTACTAAATTTGTGATCCAATCATAACTATACGATAGCCCGGTGCAAACTTTGTATAAATGGGTAGTGGTGTTTATGGAATTGCACCTAAAATTAGCTGATGTTTTGTGTAAATTAAACACTGAATGTCATTATAAAATGTTTACTAGTAGTGCGTTAAAAGAGATTATTTTTTTAAGTAAATAAAAATGCTGAGTTATTCTTGCTTAATGTCCAACAAAATATTAAATCTAATTTAATATTGATATTGAAATTAATACGGTATATTATATACTCGATATAATTTATAATTTTAATCATGATTTGCCGAGTATGTTATCTAAATACGAGTTACACTTTATAGAGTCTTTATCCAATTAATATATCAACTTATAAATGTATATTTTATTTTTTGTAATAATGATTGACTTTATTTATATTATCGACAAAAAGGTGTGAATGATAAAGAATATAAATTTACTTATTATAAACAAATAATAAATTCTTATCAAGACTAACGATATGCTTATGGAATTTGTTTGTTATGAAACACCGAGGTCTTTTATCGCTTTTCAATGCCAAGTGTAATACTCTCGGCGGTCATCAAAGGCGTTAGATTCATGAATTTGATGGGCATTTCAGTGTCGGCGCACTTCGTGAACCGAAACCTTTTTACGATGTGAGCGATACAGAGCTTCATCTCCATTAAGGCGAACCGCATACCAATGCAATTGCGAGGGCCGGTGCCAAAGGGCATGTAGGCATAGGGCACTAAATCCTTGCGATTTTCCGGCATAAACCTCTCGGGCGTGAATGTGTCGGCGTTTTTGTAGTACCTCTCCGACCGATGTATGGCATAGACGGGAATCTCGATCAATTGGCCCTTAAATACGGTGATCCCGGTGTCGCCCAACTTAACATCCTCGCCGGCTTCCCGTTCCAGTCGCGCCAACGCCGGATACATACGCAGGGTCTCACTGATGATGGCATCCAAATACGGCAGACTCTGGAGGGTCTCGTAATTGATCTTTCCGTCCAAATCAAACGCATTGATCACCTCATTGTGGAGCTTCTCCTGGACGTCCGGATTGAGGCCCAACTCGTACGACAAGTGCCCTAAAGTAGTGGCCGTTGTTTCAAAGCCGGCCAATAAGAAGAGCCACGACTGGGCTATGATCTCATCCTCGGTTAGGGTTTTGTTCGCGAAATTCGTGTTAAAAGTTCGCTTCGCGGCCGCGATTTCGTCTTCGCCTGAAAAGTTTTGAATGAAAAGTTAGATTTAATTTTAACGGATAGCTAATGAATGAGTCTGAAAGCAAACCTTCAATGAAGTGATGGGAGTCCATTTTATCGGCCGACAGGTCTTTGTTGTTATTATTATTATTATTATCGGTGGCGTTGGCGTCGACGAGTAGTTGCAAGAAATCGTTACTTTTCTCTCCGTCGCGTCTCTTCTTCAGCATATGTTTCGTCAAATCAAATATGAATTCATTGGGCGCCTCCACCAAATTAGTCCTTATATTCAGCATTTTGTTTAGAAATTTCGGGAAAATAAAGGCCGGGATCATCTTAATAGCGCTGAATATGAAGACTTTACGGCCGGCGGCCACCAATTTATTGTTGGGATCCTTCTGTGAGTTGGTTTTCGTAGCGAAGGCACACTTCGCGATCACATCAAACGTGAAGTTCTGGTGCAGAAGCTTGGCGTTGATATACTTGCCATCCTTTGCCATCACATCCAAGTGTCCCAGGTACTCCTCGAGACACTGCTCGACTAAATGATACATTTTCCGCAGCTTTCCCGACGAGAACGTGGGACTAACTATAGTTCGCATACGTTTCCAGTCCTCGCCCATCGAGTTGAAGAGGTTTTTATTGATGATCGGGTGCTCTGTCCGCAGTTCCCGGCGATTTGAAAACTTATGAAACTCTTTGACCAGAATTTGTTTGAGTAGTTCCGGTTCGGCGACCATTAGTGTCGGATCTCTACCGTTGAATATTCTGTGGTGAATGGCAATTAAATTTATTATTTATACTTAAAGAGTTTGGGCGTTAATTGATGACATGAAAACAATTTGCATCAATTAATAAGCTGAACACTAATTTGATTACTACAATATTATGAATGCTAGCGTAAACCAAAATTGATACTAAAAATAATGATTACAAACAAAAATCCATTTATTTATCATTAAATATTAAACAATTCATTAGGTACCACTCTATTACTCTGATATTACTTTTTTGAATGACTTTATTTAATAACAGTAAAGTAAAATGACCTTTTCTATATACAGTACCGTAACCATAATACCTAAGTAGTGATTTATCTTGAAGTTTAAGACTTCCTAAAAGTATTTTTCTTATTTTTTGAAATTAAACCTATACTTAAATAAAAATTATTATTCAAGATCTGATTACTACAGTATTCAATTCAAAAATAGCTTTCCATTTACTATTCCTAATATAAAAGTGGAATTACAGTGAAATTAATTTCAATATTCATTAGTTAAATATATGACTAAATTCTGTATATAAATAAATTTGTGTAAATACTATTCAATAGCGCTTTTAGTTATTGGGGAATTACGTTAATAGAGAAAATTTAAATTTAAATTAAACAAATTAGTTGAATAGAGATTTCTATGAAAAAAAGCATTTATTACATAATATATACTAAAGTAGTATTAATACAGAATATTATGTAATTCTTATACTAAAAGCATTTTAATGAATTCATT